AAACACTTTCATGTAGTCATTTGATTCTAATACTATTGATTAGATAAAATGAACACATTGCTTAAATGATTATTTTTTTCCTCTTTAATTCTCCTTGAGGGACAGCCTAACTCGGAGTACTGAAGAATATTTACAGTAGGCACTCATATGTTACCTTGACTGAGCCCAAAGAACCAGTAAAGTTAGAGAATTCCGTGAGAATATTACAGTAATACCTCCTTACTTTCATTGTTAGCCATTTATCTAACAACCTCAGCTACAAGAACCAAAAAAAGATTTCTAAACAGCCAAATAAGATGTCACAGTACCCAAACATTAAATCTTGGATATTTTACTAAACAGACTCGGTTTATAATCTAGACCTGTCTTCAAGCAAGTGCTATCAGAGAAGAAAACAATTTGGAATCTACCTGCATGAACAAAACCTCTGTTTTGGATGATGGTAAGATTAATAAGTTTTAATAGTGATTTTTTAGGCTGCCTTAGTGTCTACAACAAGGATGGTGAAAATTTAGTGAAAGTCAACTTGGACTAGTAAACTCTGGGCCTTTTAAGAAGTCTCTTTTAGAAACTAAGGTAGATCCTGAGAAGAGAAACAGGGGTTATAAATACTTAGGAAGAACAGATGTTGAATGCTTTTAAAAAAAAAATTGGGGATATTTATTCTGAAAAAAAGACTTAAAGAAGATATGATGGCCAATTTCAGATTCCTTTAACACTGACATTTAACAGAAATTAGAGACCACAGGTGGGAGGTAAGCATCAGAGCTGCCCTAAGTAGAACAAAATGTCTAAGATAGTTTCCTGTCCCTGTGGTTCCTCAAGAAAAGGTTGATGAACAGCTGCTGATGGACGCAAAACAGCTGGATCTCTACAAGGCTTCTTTGCAATTCCTGGGGTGGGGGATGGGAACAGAGAGGAGAGGCAGAAGAAGAGGCTTGATTGTTTCCCAGCCCTTGGTTTTGGCCCTTTCACTGGCCCCACTATATTCTGGTTGTCCATCCTTACAGTGAACGCCTATTTTTGAAGCTAGTTCAGTTTATTTATTAATGGAATCTTAGAGACTTAACCAATACACTGGTACATAAAAACATTCCATTATTTTGGTAAGAGATCAAGAGTATAAATTGACATGTTTTATTAAGGGCAAAAAAAGTGCCTATAATTTGCTGAGAAGGAGCTTACAGCATGTAAGTCCTCTGACTTTGTCTATCAAGTTTCACTAACTCTTACTTGATGGGAAAAATATTTGTAAATCTAAAATAAAAATATTTCTAGGGAACTTAAGCAGATACGTGGACTTAAATGAAACACCATCCTACAAATCCGGGGCGAGGGATAAAATTTATTTGGATATGGGTTGGGAAAGCAACTAAGAGTGACAAAAGGCAAAAGAGGAGTAAGAGTAGGACGGGGCGAGCAAAGTCAGAATGAATTTCTTAAGCCCTTCTTCCACCAGTTACTGAACAGGAAATGGGGGCAACTTATGTTTCTTCTTTGACCTATCCTGGCAGAGTTCAAGAATAGTCACACATTTGGCTTTAGCTTTCGATAAAAGAAAAAAATGCCACTTGTCACCAGGTCAAATGAAAACTGCTTTAAGGAAGGCACTGATACACTCTTATCACTATTTCCAGCTGTGAAATGACTGCCTTTCTTAAGGTTCTCAAGGAGTATCTACTGGCAGCTAAACTTATTTGAAAAAGAAAGCAAAGATGGTGGATGTGGAAATTTTGTAAGGAAAGCTGCTTAGGAAAGCTGCTTATTTCTACTTTTTATTTTTGTGAATGAAAATGGGTATAAAATGGATGACAAACATCCTATGATACTGAGACTTGGCCACTGGGAGAAAAATTCATTTCTTTAAGGCTGATGAAACAAATCATAACATTTGGCCAATTTTTCCCTGGAGGACTGTAGGGTGATCTGTTCTGGGCCAGGAATAGCCATTAACCCTTGCTATTAAAAATGCAGTTTGCTATCCAAATGTATAAACACAATGTAGAAAATTAATGATATGGAAAACTCTGCTTTGCTCAGATAAAATGAGTAAGTGGTGGAACCAGCCGTAATGTATGTCAGATTAAGTTTATTAAGAGTTTTGGAAGTTAGGTATGAAGTAAGAAAAAAACCAATAAAAATAAGAGAAAAACCTCTAAGACACACTAAAGAAACAACCTCCAAAAAAAATTAAGAGACTTTTTTGAACATTGCTTAAAATCTGGAACAGGCCATTGGTTCCTAGAACCCTCCATAAGGAAGCTCTGGAATTCTTTCTTGAGAGTCACAATGCTGTCAAAGATGCCACAGTCTCTCTCCCTTCTAGATACAGAGCAAAAAAAATTAGCCTTCTGCTCTCTTAGAGGAAGTGCAAATGGGTTTTTTTCCTCACTTCCTTCTCATACTCTCCAGCAAATGAATTATTTTAGATTCCTTCTGAAAGATCAGTGCAGCATAAGAAAATCAACTCAAAAGCTAAAACAAAAAAATGGGGCTCCTATCAAGAGAAGGCATGACTAGTTAACCTGTGAAAGAAACAACTGGGGAATTACTTAAGTTTCAAAAATAGAAAGATTATTTAAGGGAACATTTTAGGGATAGAATAACAATTAGGATTAAAAGGAAATAAAAGTTTAGGTTTACGTATCAGGAAAAAATCTTCGACTAAGGAATAAACTAGAATAAACTACAGACAATTAGGTAGTTTGAGCCTAAAGTATCATATAATTATCATTATTATATTAACCTTTCGTTTTTGTAACCATGTACTTAGTAGATGTTTCCTGAACACATTCAATGATCCTAACATGTTGCTTGGACAGTATGAGATGTTTTTATTCATTTATTCAACAAAATTTACCAAACACTGTATCAGTCACTGAGCTAAGAAGCAGTGATACAAAGTTGAGTAAGATATAGATGGTGCCATCCCTTATGACGCTTATTTTGAGGATGGTAGGTATGTGAACAAAAAACAATGAGATAAAAGTGATAACAGAAATATGCATAAAGTATTACGGGAAGAATCAGCTATTCTCATAGGTGTCAGAAAGGCTTCACAAGAGTTGACATCTAAGCTGGTTTTAGAATAAAGAAGAGAAAAAAAGGTCTTCAAGCAAAGCCAACATTTATGTAAAGCACACAGTATGCAAAACATGTTTATTAAAGAATAACAAGTAGTCTGGTCCACACTTTATAACACCAAAGAATGTGTCCTGCACAAGGTTATCAGCTAAGAAAGCAACCTAGCTTATGTAAAACAATCAGCTCCAAAAAAACAAAGAGAAAAACTCTTTTAATAAAGTAGAAAATTATCTCCTTTCGGTTGGAGATCATTAGTTATAAACCTCTAGGAAAAAAGCGACTTTGCATATTTTGTCTCTTTTCCACGCAGTTCTGAAGTCATGTTGCCTGAAAGAATATAAAATTTTACAGTTTTGAGATGCTATAAACTCAGGGGAGAAAACTCCCCAAAATGGTAAAAGTACAAATCTTTACTGGGGAAGAGGTAAGAAAGCACAGGAACCCAGAGTCCAACGTAGAACTCTAGGACAGATCAAGAGACAGAGAACTGGAGTTCATCATTTCAGGGGCGACTGTGTGATATGTAGGGACTATCAGGAGACCTAGGTCCCACCAACGGCCTTCAGTAACCTGCTTGGTCTCCTAGGGTTAACACAGTCTAAACTGTGAAACTGGATATTCTCCCTGGTTCTTTCCTTAATGGCTAATATAACTGACAGGTGAAAGACTTAAAAGAGTGAGTGACTAGAGAAAAAAGACCATTGGTATATGACAATAAAATTCCCCATATTTTATATTTCATTTACTAATTTAGAGAATATGTTCTTTAACGTAACAGAAGACCTTCTGCTTTTCTCAGTTAGGGTTTCGGTAAAGAATTAGGTCCCAATTAGCTACGGCAGGGGTCCCCAAAGTGATCCCAGGATCCCAACAGTCCCTAAGCCTTTTTACAGGTCCATGAGGTCCACCCTTTTCCCACTATCTGTACAAACCTGGGTTTTCTCCGTATACTTCAACCCAAACAATATATTGCAAGACTCAATCCAGAAGCAGATATGAAAATCTAGCCATCTTCTAGTAAGCAGATAGTATAGAGATTTTAGAAAATGGAACACAATGCCACTCTCCTCACTTGACTTTTGTTTTGGAAAAACAGTTAATTTTCATCAAAACTGCATCATTTCTCCTAACATGTAATAGGTTTATTAATGTTATTTTAAGATGTATTAGTAATTGAATATGTAATTTTAATTTCTAATTTAAATTAATTCAGTTTAAATTTCTAATACGGCAAATATTGATAGCTATAAGCCACATAAACAAATGCTCTTTGAGGGTCTCATTAATTTTTTTAAAAGTAAAAAAGTTTGAGAAGTACTGACTGAAGACATCCATTGTATGTAACAGTTTCTCTTCTACGCATCTAAGGTGGGAGAATAGAGAAAACAGGCACTCAAATCATTTTCTGTGTTCTGTGGCTCAGATGAGAAACCACTATCAGGAACTATACAGCATGGCATGTAATAGGCATGCACTGTATAAAAAGTAGATGACAGAACAAGGATAGGAGTAAGGTGGCTTCAAGGGGTTGGGACTAAACCACACTTTTAAAATAAATTAACAAGCTGTCAAAAAACAGGTTAAGCTACTCTGTGGTACTGACTTTCATATTTTACTTTATAGACATGCTGATTATTTTTCTTAGAAATACAGTTTCTAGAATATTTCTGTTTAGAGCACATCACCTGAGTATTTACTCAGATATGTTCATCAACACTCAACACCTGTGGCACATGTACTGAAAACACTGCATAAGAAAAACCAATGTCCTCTGGTAGCTCATGGCTATAGGTTATGTTAATGTCTAACTAACCATGATAACTGACATAAAATAACATTAAAACAAAACAAACATACAATGTACTTTTATAAAACAACTTTATTGAGGTCCTACAGTGTACTTTTGCTATACTTACCGTATCCCATATCTGAAGTTTTATCTGTTTTCCATCAATAGTTATCATTCGAGCACCAAACTCTACACCTGAATAAAACAAAAAATAATTTGTTACACAAACTGGTGGGAATATATCTCACATTTAAGGATAAAGAAAGCATGTCCTATTACTTCCAGGACATGTTATGCTAGGTAATACACAGACCAACTTTAACAAATATAGCTCCTATCCTTAGAAAACTTATAAGCTAAGGCAGAGATGTTAATAAGACATAGCCGAGGACATAATTAAAACACCAAGATATTCAAGTCTAACATAGTCAATATTAGGAAACCAGCTGCGGTCTTTTTGTTTCTCATGCTCAGTAATATAGAAACAACTAGAGAAATAGATTCAAGAGCTATAATTTATTAGTAATAAACATTAAATGTTAAAATTTCTTAAAAACTGTATTAATATGGTATAAAATAACTAAAAACGACAGCTGAATTTCAACATTATAGTCTTGGTTCCCATCATGGGTTATCAACTAGGAAACGTCCAAATCTATCCATTAGAAAAACTACTGTTTATACTTTTTTGAATAAATGCACACACAGAAAAAGATAATTTTATATAAATGGGAACATATTATAAATGCTGATCTGCAATTTGCTTTTTCATTAATGTCATCAATATTATTCCATATCATGAACATCATTCCAAGTCAATAAATACATAAAACTACACCATTATTTTTTCATGTCTGTACAATATTCTTTTATATATATAGTATACTAAATTGGCATTCTATTGCTACAAATTTAGGTTGTTTCCAAACTTTTACCAAATAGCGAGTGCTGAAATGAATTTTCTGTGTATACTTTTCAACTTATGACTATGATTTTAGGCAAATTACAGGAAGCAGGACTACAGGTGAAAGGGAATACAGACTTACATATTTACTACTTTTTATTTGCCTTTATTATCTGTTTTTTAAAGTACTCATTCTATCATGAAAATAGGAGGAGGGGAAAATGAGAGGATAATTTCAGAACAGCAAACAGGTGTGAAGATGACTCTAGAAGAAGTCTATCACTAATACCAAACTAAGACTGCCTGCAGTGTGTTCTATCAGTATTTAGATCAGAGTCACAGTGAACAGAAGACACATATTGTTCCCGGAAACCAGATGTTATCCTGGCAGAAAAACAGCCTCTAGGTGCTCAAGCACACTGACCAGTGTCAGAAGTCCATTTTAGCATCTCCTATAATTCCCCCAAATGTGGTTAAGAGGGCAAAATAGAAAGGTCATTTGTCCTTCCATGATACACAACTTGCTGAGGGCTTTCCTCTATATTTTAATACTTATTCTATCCTAGGGGCATAGTTAATACCAAGAAACTATGATGTTCATGTTTCTCAGGCTCAGAAACATAGGAAAGCTGGAGAAAAGGGACCCAGCTGGCAGGTTTATTAAATGTAATATTATGCCATAGAAAACCATTATTGTGTGTGCGTGTGTGTGTATTCATAATTGTTCTGTGTCACAGGGTGGTGGAGGGGGAAGATAGGACAAACAAAACAACTACCCATCATCTTACCATTAATAGCACAAAAATAAAAAAAATTGAGGAGAGAAATCAATGGCTAAGTGTGGCACAAATGTTCTTTGAAACAGCCAACATTTAAATGTAATGTGCTAAAGTACAAAATTCTACATGTCAGCAAAACATTTGAGATAGTGGAAGCTTTTTCATGTATCTATTGTTTCTACTCACAAACTAAAACAAAACATGTTACCATTGAGTCAATTCCAAATCATGGCAACCCCACGTGCTTCAGAATAGAACTGTGCTTCATAGGGTTTTCAACGGCTGTGACCTTTCAGGAGTAAACTGTCAGGCCTTTCTTCCAAGGCACCTCTGGGTGGCTTCAAACCACCAACCTTCTGTTTAGAAGCCAAGCACTCAACTGTTTGCACCACCCAGGGACTCCTACCCACAAACTAAAGAGAGAGAAACACTATTCTCCTATTCATTTTTATGGACGGGCTTAAAAATACGTATTTTTTATTGCTGAGAATATGCACAGCAGAACATACACCAATTCAACAATTTCTGCATGTTCAATTCAGTGACACTGATTACATTCTTCAAGTTGTTCAACCATTCTCACCCCCCTTTTCCGAACTATTCCTCCCCTCCATTAACATAAACTCACTGCTCTCTAAGGTTCCTATCTAGAGCTGCTACTGTCAATTTGATTCCACAGAGAGAGCTCTTTAAAAGAGCACGTGCTCAAGGCAGACATTCTTTACTAATTAAGCTAAACCACTGTTTGTTTCAAAGACGACTTCAGGGGTTATTTTTGGTATAAGGATTAAGGCTTAAAGATTATCTCAGGGCAATAGTTTCAGGGCTTCATCCAGCCTCAGTGGCTCCAGAAATTCTGGATTGCATGAGAATTTGAAATTCTGTCCTGCATTTTCTCCTTTTTTAAAATCAAGATTCTTCTATAGAATCTTTAATCAAAATGTTCAGTAACTGTAGCCAGGCACCACATGGATGGGCTTTTAATAAACAACCAAAACAAATCTGCATTGCTCACAAGGCTTCAAGATTTCTTAAATATGATGCATAATGCCAACTATGGCAAAAACAAAACAAAACAAAGGAGAAACAGATCAATGAATGTTCCTGATACCAAGGGGTGGGTGGGCAGGCAAGGCCAGCAAGGGCAAGCAGAAGCTTCCTCCCTGGAACTGATACCTTGAGGAGAGGGATAAAGACAGCCCGTGCTACAGGACCGCTCTTATGGCTCGTGCTTCCGGTCTCCAAAGATGCTTTGCTCCTGTTCGTTCCTAAGCCCAAGTCTCCATCCTTCTGTGGAATCCACATATAAAACTCCAGATATGCTAATATATTACCTTTTGTTTAATTTGGCCAGAACTGGGTTTTGGTTATGATTATTTTTTTATTTAAAGTAAGAAGACAGAGGTTGCTGAAGCTTGAAAGTTCTTAAAGATTCTGTATCTAAAAATATATCCACTTTAAATAAACCCACTGTATGAAAATCAAGACTGTTTCTAAAGCAGGGAGATGCCATAATAAAACTGATGTTTTAACTTCATTTATCAATGCGGTCAAGATGGTGAGCAAAAAGAGGCACACATTTAGCCACCAACTCTTCTCATTGGTGCAATGTAGGTTTTACACCCTTGTATTTTATGTGGCAAAAGAAGATACTAAAACCTAGTGTCCTGGAAATCTCAGAAATAAACGAAAACAAAAAAACAAATAAAAGGAACAAAAACAAAAATCATATTTTTCTTTCGTGTTGCTAAAATTTTAAAATCCTTTTCCTTAACTGTATATATGCTTGGGAATCCCATTGAGAAAGATGTCCTTATCTTTCTGAATGGGATAAACCATCACCCCTTATGTCCTTGAGCCTCTCTTTCCAGATACATTTTCAATTAACAGCCAGTTTGGCTGCCAAAGATATGGTCTGTGGAGCCAAAGGCAAGGCCTCAATTATCTGGCAGTGTCAGGGAATGATGCTTATCTTTTAGGTATTTATTCACGTCCAACCTTCCAGAACAAATACTCTGAATACAAGTATACATTTTCTAATGGTCTCCAAATCAATATCATCCTTGTATAGTAATTATACCATTTTTTGAGCACTCATAACCTATAACCTATACCTACCAGCTGTGTGACCCTGGCCAAGTTATTAAATCTCTTCTGTGTCTCAGTTTCCTCATCTGTAAAATGGTATTAACAATATGTATCTCATTGTGTTTGGTGAAGATTACAGAGTTAATATATATATAGAGTTTCCATTGCCGTCAAGTTGATTCCGACTCATAGTGACTCTAGAGGACAGAGTAGAACTGCCCCATAGGGTTTCCAAGGAGTGCCTGGTGGATTTCAACTGCCTATCTTTTGGTTAGCAGCCGTGCCTGGCAAATATGTGTCAACTATTGTTATTATTCCACATTATATACCAAAATATTTGAACCATCACCCAGACGACTAATAATGGCAGCCCCTGTAAGAAAAGGCCACCTGTCAGCCAGGTGATTGTGGCGGTGCAGAGATGTGCAGAGGCAGAATGTTGCTCTTTCTACTAGGTGAGGCTAGGGCATGCCATTTAGGCCTCTTTGTAACGTCAAGACCAGAACCCCCAGGCTGCTGGAGTATGAGATGGAGATGCCAAAGCAGAGAGCAGTGTTAGGTAGCAAACAGCCAGGCACAGCCTTACCTAAGCCAGCATGGGGACATATGAACTCCTACCCCCTAATTCCTGTTCCCAGAACCTAGACACTGCAGAGGTTCAAAACAGAGATTGGTGGGAAGAAGGCTTGATTTTCCTAATTCCAGGAACAAAGGAAAACAAAATATAAAAAGTAATTTCCTTAATTTTCTATGGAAAATTAACAGCAAACACCATACTTAATGGCAAAACACTAGAGGGATTCAATTAAATTGAGAAAATATTATAATGCCCTCAACTTGAAAATTACCCTAGAGATTTTGGTCCTAAATTACAAAAACAAAACTAAGAAGTATAAATATTAGCTAAGAAAAAATTGTAATTTACAGATAATACAACGGTCTACCTAGAACAAGCAAAACAATTAATTTTAAAATTATTAGAAAAAAATAATCATTTAGACCAAGGAGCTGAAAGTATTAAAATATCAACAGCTTTCCTAATTACAAAATATAAGCAATTAACAACTATAATGGGGGAAAAAATCTATTCATGACAGCAACAAAATCTATAAAATATCAAAGCATAAATTCAATAAAAGCATAAGGCCTATATGAAGAAAACTGTAAAATTTTACTGAAGAGTATTAAAAAGAGTTCTGAATAAATGAAAACATATGTCTACAAATGGGTAATCTCAATACTGTAAAAACATACCGTCTCCAAATTAATCCATAAATGTAATGAAATTCTTATCGAATTTTAAATGCCTCACTAAAAATTTTGCAACCTGATAAATTGAGTTTAAAGTTCATTTGGAAGAATAAATGCACAAGAATAATCAAGAAAACTTAGAGAAAGAAGAATATCTACCAGATACTAAATAC